GGACACTCCACTCAAAGCGCTTTACAGGTAATGGGGACTCCCCTCCACCACCACCAATGTGCAGCATCCACCTGGATGATGCGACGGCAGCCATAGTGCACCAGAACGCTCACCACACATCAGATATCAGTGGGGAGGAGAGCAGAGTAATGAAGCCAATTTATATAATTAACTTACCAGTGTCTCTGTGCACTATGAGAGGAACCCAGGACCCCAGTGGTGCAAGACAGCAATTCTAACCACTGTGCCACCGTGCCTCCCCGTGATATAAAAATCACTATTTTTTCACTTTCAGTTTGAGAAGTAAAATACCACTGTTCCTGTCATTGAAAGTTCACTGGGTTGTGTAGCTGATAGCTTACAGAGAAACAAGTGTAAAAGGCTATGAAAACAACCTGAAGTAGGAGAAGCACAAAAATATTCAACGGATGTTGAAAAAAAAACACTGACTAAGGAAGGATTTACCGACGGGTACCATGATGTAAAATCCTGGAGAAGGGGGACAGATTGATTGTTAGTGAAGCTTCAGGTCTTTTCCCCATACCTGAATTGACCAGCTGCTGCTCCATCACCCCACAGCCCAGGACCTCCAGCCAGTCCCCCTGGAATCTGATCTCCATTTCAAAGGAGGGGTGGGTGAAGGGGAAATAGCACTCCACCCAGCGGATCTCCAGGTCTGCGGAAAACCAAATGAATAAACGGGCGTGAGCCATTAAACAGAGGCCAATGGAGGTAAGCAGTTCTGCTCCCGTAAAAATGTGGGGTTACTTCTTCATGCCACCAGTTTGGAGTTTCTCATGAAAATAAATCACAAACACACCCGCCTGCAACATCTTCATTGCAGACAATAAATCTCGAAAGTTAAAGAGAAATAGCAGTGTCTTTTTCAATATGAGAAGCAGTTTGTGCAGCTCAGGCTCCTTGGGTAAGTCAATCAATCACCTGGCACATTCCTGCAGCGACAGGACAAGCAGCGGGCGGGGGAGGGGGGCAGATGTGGTGGACAAAAGCAGGCCTGGGTCCTCGGCTCTTGAGAGGAAAACTACTACCAGCCCTCCTGGACGCAGTACAAGACATCAAGCGTTCTCTCAGGATATGGGCAAAGCTTTACATAAACTTGTGGTTAGTCAGGAGTTTCCGTCTGGAGGTGCCATTAAAGGGGAACTGTAACGCTATTTTTATATTTCGGGGTTAGAAAGAATCAGCATCGATGAGTACATTTCAAACCACAATAAAAGTGAAATGGACACAGTACCGTGCAAAGCCTCCAATTTACATCACAAAATTAGACTAGATTTCCAGGTATGCTTAATGCCATTTTCTGCAATTCAGAACAAGGCAACCAAACTTCCTTTGACATGAACCGGCCCTATAACATTGTAAGGAAGCAGGCTTGTGAATACATCTCTTTTAATCCAATGGAAATATTGCTCTCAACTTCCAAAATTTTTTGCGTCGATAAATGGAACTAACTTGTTACCTCTGCATGCAGATCACGTTAGAAACGGTTTGATGGTGAAATGTACGAGCAAATACGTACAGCTTATGCTGCAGGCATTGCATTACATTAGTCACTGTGAGCGAGCAGGAAGGGCCGCATCACATCAGAATTTGTGTGAGCTTTTGCTCTCGCCCATGGCAAAGTACTTTCACAAAGTTCACTATCACATGCTTAATTTGAAATCTCGAAAATTTTTCTATTACCGTCAATAAATTCATTTTGTCACTGAGATTTAATAACCAGTCTCAACAACAGTCTTAGCAACAGGGATCAACAGAAAGTAAAGCTGGGAGGGTGAAAAAAAAGGAACAAAAGAAAGGCCCATTGCGTTTTCTACCTTCTCCAAACAGGTGAGTAATGAGTTTGCGGAGAGTCTCTTTTAAATTAAACTCCACCAGTTTCACTGCCTCCAGTGTATGCGTGTCCTGCTTCTCTAGGGTGCGAGGACCCTTTTCAAACAGGTGCAGATGTTCTCCGTCCACCACACTCGCAAACAGCTAGAAAAGAACCCAACGTGAAAAACAAGACAGGGTGGAATTGGCATATTTGATAAGATACTAACAGCGGTTTACAGACATACTGTATTCGGAAAGCATTTATTTGTTCTGTTGAAGCGGTGATAAAGCCGTCTTATTCAGTTTACAGCTTCAACAGTATTCATCAAAAACAGCCAGTGGGGGCATATTTAGCAGGTAATCATGTTGACAGTCTGTTCCAAGACAAAGCTCATCAGTTTAAAAAAATAAGAAACTCAGCTTTTTTCAAGTTTTATTGATGGCTACTGTGCTGTCTTCATGTTTTCAGACTTTTTCACATTTGATACTCCAGCTGTTGAGAACAATTTTCAAGTGCAGCCCATACTCATCACCTAATTTGGATCAAACTGTTGATGTTAGTTTATACTGTTTTGCTTTGAAACATTAGAGGTTGTCTATACTTTTCAGGACGATGTGTTAAAATGATGATGGCAGGAGTGGGATACAATATGCACATTTCTAAGGCCCTCTGTTCCTTAGTTAAAATTGATTAACACTATAAGCTTTGAAAGTGGCACGACATCTTGTCAAGGATGCTACAGTGCCATTTCTAAAGTATGTTTTTCTTCACCAGAATTTCCACTTCCGGTTGAGGGGGAACGGTCAGTGTGTTTTTAGCTGCTGCTCTTCTCACCAGTTTCATGTATATATGATTATTTTCTTTAGATTCACTGTTAAATGTTACTGTACTCATTTATTAGTCTTTCTCTGCAAACATACTATCACCGTGATTCTCACATCCACTGCTGACTGCCTACATATTGCTCTGCAGAATCAGTCTGCTCTGCAAAACCACGGGTTTTTCCCAGTTTTTGTTTTGTCCTCCTGGATTCCACCACAATGTTTGTAATGTACACCTTATCGCAATTATTGTATCTCACATGGAATTATATCCTGAAAATCCTTGAGCACTGCCAGTATATTGGGATCTTGCAAACCCACACAGGAATTTAACTGTTTTTTCCTCTCAGTTTTGACAAGCAACTATCAGCGGGATAATGTCTCTAAGACACGATCCCTCCTAAAAGGCTGATAAGAAGAATCTGCATAACATGATGTTACCATTACCATGCTTTACAGATGGGATGGAGTGACAAGCACTGTACTGTGGCTCTTGCTTTTAGACCAAAAAGTTCAATCTTTGTCTTGTCTGACCACAAATTCCTCTATTATATGTCTGCATTATCATATATGTGATTTGTCTCAAATCTCTTTATTAGTAAAGGTTTCTTTATCAACACATGTATATTATCGACACACTGTATGATCAACGAGTGAGAAACTTACAAATATTTAAAAGTGATTGTTAGCGTCATGGTAGCATCCCTAACCAGTCTCCTGCTTGCTCACATACATTATTCTCTACTACTCTACCTCTGATTTATTTTAAAAGTCCCTTGGACTTCATAGCTGATTTTTCATATCATATGGCTTAAAATTCAAAATCAATCAAAAAGAATTCGCAAGAGGCTTCTATTCTGAAGACAAGCTAAACAACTTTTATTTCAGGCAGAGAAAGACCACTACACTATTTTTGTGACTTTGCAAACTAATCATTAGGTTTTAAAGAATTAAGCACAAAGATGTGGACTACTTATGCAACTGAGAATCTTCTAATTTTCTTTGAAAAATCTACTTCATTTACATGTACTATCAGCCGATCTTGGGTGGGGTAAATGACTCAGAATCTAAGGTTCAACTTAAACAGGCACTTTTATTAAAAGTGCTAGACAGCGAAAAGATGCGCACTGTAAAAGCATAAGCTGTGATGGAAGTGTATGAACTGTAAACACACGGTGGTCACGGCCAGTATTCTAGAGGACCGTCCCCTTACCTCATGGTTTGAGAAGAGACGCACCCCCTCCATCTGGTGAAAGATGGGGTAGTGACTGGCATCGATCTCATCTCGTCTGTAGACGTCCCCTGCCACCAGGAAAGCATCCAGACCAGAGCGCATCAGATCTCTCTGATGGGCAGAGGTGTGTGCTCGCAGCATGTGCCCCCGGTTCAGGTAGTAATTGTCCCCTTTCTTCCTGCTGGCATGGTCAGGTGGTATCAGAAGACTGTCAAAGTTCTGCTCTACCGTTACCACAGGACACAAGTTATCATAAACGGAAAACAACGGATTCCCATGGCGGCCCATGTACTGCTTGTAGAAGTGATCTTTTATGCGTTCTTTTATGAGCCACAGTGGATGGTGCTTCTGGTTGTGCAAGTTCCTCCCTACGTTTGAAAGGATCTTGGGTGTGATGTTGGTATAGTCATCCCGTGGGTGGAGTTTCCCAAACAGCTCCACGCAGTCCTTGCCACTGGAGCTGGCTGCTGGACCGGACATCACACCTCTGAAGACCTCCTTTGCAAGACCTTTCCAACGTCTTCTGTGGAGAGATGCGGATTCACCCAGCCGGATGACTGACCTCAGACTGCAGCACAGCCTCATGACTATCCACCAGTGAACCTGGAGAGAAAAGAAAATCCCAAGGTAAAAATCAAACGAAACCGATGGATTCCTTGGGTGTTCTGCTTATCATGGAAAAGAGCTGATGTAACTCATTAGTTTACCCAGCGACCCTGCCCCCTCATTACCTTGCCAGTCAGCAAAACCATTAGCTACAAAGGCTTTTATTATGAAGGTTGAAAGAGGTGCTTTCAGCATGAGAGTACATTTTACCAAAGACACCACTAACTCTAAGAAAGGGTGACTTCCAAATTTCATCTTTTCTTCTTTTATTTGTGGAACTTGGGATTACATAAAGAGAGGGGAGAAAAAAATAAAAGTAAATTCTTAATGGAAAAAATGCCAAACAAAGTCATTTTTAAATAATATTCTTAAGCAGCTCAAAACAAAGTAGTGTGCTTCTAAATCTGAGAACTGCGGGCAGTACAAAAGGTCCACTGTTTATCTGCAGGCCTTATCATCAACCTGTCACTTAGAATATAAGAGATCTCAGTTTTTCACGATAGCTTGTTCCAGGGACCTAGAAATCACGGCAATTACCTTGCTGGAAACTGAAATAATGTTCCACTGCAGTAGCTACACACTGAAAACAAAAGTATAAAAAAACAACATGTACATACTACTCTCCAAGGATGATCATTAAAAGGTCTTTTGCTTTTCTTTCTGCACCACAACAAATAAGGAGCACGTAAAATTGAAGTTTTGTTTCCTGACGAATTCTCACAAATCATCTCCACTTATTGTTATTTAAATACATAATTAAAACCTCACATTGCACAAGGTGTTACTTTGAGTAAAATAGGAGTTACTTACTGCCAAATAAAAATCTGAAAGAGGAAATCCGAAAAATAACATAGAATCACTTTAAGCACAAATGATAAACAAATAAAATATAGAAACTAATAGGAAAATAAATCTTGAAGTAAACATAAAAATAGATGGCAAATCTACTGTACCAGAAAACCCTCTTCTGCTTTGCTTGTATTTACAGTACAAGTACCCTTGTAATTCTTGGTAAAACTGTACAGTAGTTTGTTCCCCTTTTACGCCTGCCTTTGTTTATTATTAAGGCTAGATCATGTCAATTTCATGCTATTTGTACTATTTATTTTATTTACTTCTTATTATTGTAATAGAAACACGTTTGCTTCTTTTCGAACTACAACCGGGGAAAAATATTCCCTTGAACTGTGTTTATAATTATTTTTTTTTAACAGATACGGTATGAGTAAGCTTGGAAAAAAAAACACGGATAAGATACACAAGCAAAGCTTCTTTTATATATACTGTATAGCATTTACAGTAGCAGGGGTTTATGAACTATCTGAGACTCAGATGATAAGAGCTACCGATAGTTACCCACAGAAACGCATTTCAATCTTTGACATACCGTTTATTAAAATGCATTATAAACAATTCAGCAGTGCCAGTGCAAGAGGAGCTCTGTGTAGTAAGACAGTTTTGGGATTCACATTAAATTTCAAAATAATGAATTACAGTCAAAATAAAAGAATCATAACTGAGCACACATTTTACAAATGAATACATCATTAGAACCCTAGCTAAACTGCAATATAAAAATAGTTTCTCATTTGTGGTTAAATTAAGAAACCTGTAGAAACGTAATGACAAATTATTATTGATTCTTAATATTGGATTTTTCCAAATTGAGCTCTTTGTTTCTTTAATTAAATTTGAATGTAGAAAATAATGAGCTAAGTTGTTAAGGAAACAGAAAACTGTTTAGAAACAGTGGCAATGCCCGCTGGGAAGCACATTCCTAATACAGTACCTATTCATAAAAAGGGCATCAAAGCCTAATCAAGTAGCTATAGTGTACATCAGTAGATATTTCTTCTATGACATGCAAGGTGATAGAAACAATAATTAGAATTAGCCTGAACTTGAGGATCATCTACAGCATTTGGCAATAACACTGTATGGGATAGTTAACAAATATTTAGAAAACATTGATCTGTCTTGACTAACTTGTTGTTAGTATTAGATTACTTAGAAAAAGCTACAATACCAACCAAAACAAATCATATGATATTGTAATATTTAGATATTATGACGTTCCTTATGAAAAATGATCTGCAGATTGAAGATTTAGGGTGGCAGTGATTCAGGTTAATCCAGTAAAAAGAAAACATTTTTTCTACTGTATCTTCAGTTCTTGGTTTGGACAAACACGTGGAAGGCAGAATTTCATGTATACAATACAGGGTGTTGCATGAAAGTAGCAAAACCATAAACTCTAAATATAAAATGGGAAAGAATGTCCTTGAAGAGGTTACTTATAAGGAACACTTAGATAAAATTTGTGCTAACATAAACACCTATTATAAATTACACAGAAACAATAGGCATATAGTATTTATATACAGGTAGGATATACATACAGAATATATTTACAGGTATATAATTTATATCAAGGGTTGTTATGCTGAAATAGCACAATGCATTAGTATTATTTGCTCACACAACATAAAAAAATATGCTGCTCAAAAATCAGCAGAGAACAATTACATACAACCCTTGTATCTACTGTAGCTGTATTCTGACAGCCTGAAAAAACTGATTCATTTAAGTCCTAAAGAGAGAACACTCCCCATGGACCTGATTCAAATAATCCAAATCCGCAAGCATACAAAGTCAACCCAAAGGTCCTCTTCAAAATTAACACTGAAATACGAACCAGAGGACACAAGTGGAAAATACGGGGAAGTGCATTTACAACTGAGAACAGGAGGCCCTTCTGTACACAGGGTGCTAAAACAAGCTACCCAGCCATGTTGTTGAAGCTGATACCTTGTCTTCTTACAGGAAACAGCTGGATTAAATATTTGGATCAATTAGTTAGTAAAGAAGAAAATGACCTAGACTGGCTGGATGGACCCCTCTTGTTTATAAACATTCACATGTAGTGATACTGTATATTGCATACATTGAAGTCATTTATTATAACTATGCATTTACACTACAGTAAACAAACTAAGTCTCCCTCACATTTCAGAGTCTGCCTTGCTTATCACTGCTGGATTAGTCTTTGACGCACTTGTTTTTAATATAATACAAGATCACCTGCACTACACAACTTAAATGCAAAGGTATTTCACTATTTTTTTTTATCCTTGCAACCCCATCTACATTTTTGTTATCCACCTTGTCAACTGTCTTGAAACACCCAGCTTTTACTCAGCAAAGGTGGGTCTCTCGAAATACAAAAATGGGAGCCCTGGTATGCAGAACTTTGCAGAGTGCATTTCTTAGATGTACAGTTAAAGTGAAAATTATACATTAGAAACACGTTTCTCTCCTCTTTGCAAGGTGTTCCAGGAGACTCATGCAGACTTCCTCGTTTCAGTTTTGTGTAAATCTGGAGGTTTGGCAGATCCACAGGTTTGCGTGATGACTTGTAGGTGCCTTGTTTAGAGACGGGCGGTGGTACAGTTGTTAACATTGGTGCCTCACAGCGCTGGGGCCCTGGGTTCAATGCCAGGCTTGAGAGGCTATCTGTGTGGAGGTTGTGTGGGTTTCTTCCCACAGCTCAAAGACATACTGGTAGGTTAATTGGCTCCTGGAAAAACTGGCCTTAGATGTGAGAGGGTGTGTGTTTGTGTCTGTGATGGACATCCTGAGATGAACAGGCGTACTGACTGGGGTGTACCCTACCCTGTGCCACTTACTTGCTGGGACAGGCTCCAGCACCCCCGCTACCCTGAATTGGAAGAAGCGGTAACAAAATGGGTGGATATTGAGGGATACTATGCAACATGAAAGTGCAGAGAGATGGGTAAGTATTCTCCAAGGTTTTATGACAGAGATAGGCTAGGCTGATTGATTCATCATTGTTATATTATAGAAGAGGCACGTTAGCCAGAAGCTGTTCTCTTGAGCTCAGGACCACTGCAGGTTATACAGCAGATCAGGTCAAGCTGGAAAATTACAGAACACACACAATCTTTATCCCTCACTGTTTAAGAGGACATATGGATGAAGGTGAAACCTGTATTTGCTTTTGAAATCAGAGGAAAAGTTGTCTGGCAACATAGCTATTAGGAGGGACTTACACAGTGATTGCTGAATGATAAAAATACAATGTGTATCGTATGAAAACACTGCATTGTAGAGCTACCCTGGCAACTTAAAGAATATTCAATTTTTAATACTGAATATTTTAGATAACTATTTTAAATAAAAATGTACAAAGTCATAATGTATATATGTAATTAAAACCATAAACTCTTATTCGCCAACTGCTTATATGGTTTCTCTTTGTGTAATTTTAGAAAATGTAGCCCTACAACAGACATTCAATAACAATGCAAATGTTTAATCTCATCCCTGAATGATTTTTTCCGTTGTAATTAACTTGCCAATTTCGTATGTTTCAAAGTGCACAAGGAAGAAGCAAGATCTATTGGCAAGGATTTTGCTTTATTTATCTCAGACTAACACTAAACCTCAGTTGGATTTGATCAAATATGTATTCTTCTCTTGGAAAAAGACAGTTCATAACGCAGACTGTTCATGAAGTTCTTCTTCTGTGTACACACACCCACAGCTGACCTGTAGACTGAAAATGAATGAAAGTTTGTGTATTGTATTCATTATTGTATTGATTTGAATACTATCGAGACACGTTTCCAAGGATGTCACATAATAATCCATCTGGGAAAGAGGCAAGGAAAATATTATAACGGACCTAGAAGTGGATTATGAACATAAGAAAGGTTACAAGAGAAGGTCATGAGGCCCTTCTAGATGTTTGGACGATAACAGATAACTGATCCAAGCATGTCATCCAATCGTGTCTGGAAAGAGGCCAAGGTATCAGTTTCAACAACGTGGCTGGGTATCCAGTTGCAGACACCCATAATCAATTGAATCCCCTGAATGTCCCCTAGTCTGTGTTTTAACTGCTCCCTGTCCTTTCCAGTTCTAGTTTCACTGTTGATTCTGAAGAAATCTGTGGAGTTAAAGTCATCATTGCCTTT